AAAACCAACTCAAAATCGATTAAAGAACTAGATATAAGACCTGAAACCATAAAATACATAGAAGAAAATACAGGCGAAACACTACATGACATGCACCTCAAAGACATCTTTACAGACACATCACCCAAAGCAGTGATAGTGAAGGCAAAGATAAACAGCTGGGACTACATCAAATTAAAGAGCTTCTGCACAGCAAAAGAGACAATAACCAAAACAAAGGCCAAGATTTCTAATGGGTGTTTGATGTCCTTGTTACTGGCGGTAAGGAGTCCTTGCTCCTTCGAAATGGACCCGTGCATGTGGAGAATCATGAAAGAGTGCTTGGAATAAGTAAATATATTGACTTTTTTACCTTTTGAGAGTTCCAATGCATGGGTCAGGGCTATTAATTCGGCTTTCTGCGCTGATGTACCTGCCGGAAGAGCCTTGGCCTCCACGGTGTTCTGGAGCATCCCCCTGCATATCCTGCGCATTGACAGCCTTGGTCCATGAAGCTGCTGCCATTTGTAAATAGCTCCCACTCTGGATCTGGCAGAGGCTGATTAGTCAGATATGGTCGGCTGGCATACACTGTGTCGATGGTTTCTAAACAGCTATGGATTAAAGTGTCATCCTCAGGTCCGTCTGCATTGCTTGGAAGCAGTGTGGCGGGATTCAGAGAATTAGAAACCTGCAGCATCACATTAGGATTGTCCAACAGAGCTGCTTGATATTTTCCCATTCGCCCGGCAGTCAACCAAAGTCCACCCTTCTGCTCCAGCAATGTTAAGACCTGATGTGGCACACACACAGTGATGGGCTGACCCAATGTAAACTTCTCTGTCTCGTGTAAGAGGTCACAAGCAGCAGCCACAGCACGCAAACATGGAGGCCTTCCCTTAATGGTGTGGTCCAATTGTTTGGACAGATATGGAACAGGCTACATTTCTGGCCCCAACAATTGGATTAGCAATCCTAAGCCAACCCCCTGTCTCTCATGTACATAAAGTCTGAATGGCTTCCTAAGATCTGGAAGCCCTAATGCTGGTGTTGAGATCAACTTTACTTTTATTTCATCAAAGACCTTTTGACATTCAGGAGTCCAGGACAAAGGTTCAGGCCTTTGAGAGCATCATATAAGGGTTTTGCTAGTCATCCAAAATTAGGACTCCAAATCCTGCAAAACCCAGCCATACCCAAAAATCTGTACAACTGCTGGTTGCTGGGGACTTTAAGGGCTGAAATTACCTGTTTTCTTTCTGTCATCAGGCTCCGTCTGCCTTTCTTAATTTCAAACCCCAAATATGTCACCATTTGTTTACATATCTGTGCCTTATTAGGTGACACCTTGTAGCCACATTTTGCCAGGTGGTTCAGTACTACTATGGTATTTTCCAGACAAGATTTGTAGTCTGGACTTGCAATCAATAAATCATCTACATATTGTAATAAGATGCCCTGGTTTAATTGAACTTTGGATCCCTGGCCAGTATTTCCCCAAAAATAGTTGGGGAGTTCTTAAAACCCAGTGGAAGCACAGTCCAGCAATACTGGAGAGTGCTCTTGGACTTATGGTCTTGCCACTCGAAGGCAAAAAGCAGTCGATCCTGGACATCTATTGGGATACAGAAAAAGGTATCTTTAAGGTCTAATACTGAAAACCATCCGAAGTCACCAGGAATGGCAGTTAATAAGGTGTAGGGATTAGGCACGGTGGGATGTAAATTCCGAACAATGTCATTAATGGCCCTTAAATCTTGGATAAAACGGTTCTCACCTGTATGGGATTTCTTCACTAGCAGAATCAGAGTGTTGTGCAGTGAGCGGCAGGGCTGAATGAGTCCAGATTGCAGGAACCTTTTCAATACTGGCTCAATTCCCCTCAAGGCTTTCTCCTTTAATGGGTATTGCTTCATCCTCGGGGTTCTGCTCCCCTCTATCACTTCTATCTTTACAGGCTCTGCATTTATCGCACGTCCTGGAGTTCCATCAGCCCACACCCATTTACTTACTTGTTCAACAATTTCTGAAGGTAAAAGTTCACCTTTCTGTGAAACAGCTTGAGTAAGTAACATCTGGAAGCACAGAACATGCTCTTGAGGTATCTGTAGGTGAAGTCTCTGATATTTGGATGAGAATATAATTCGAGCGTTGAGCTTACTTAAAAGATCACGACCAAGTAGAGGGATTGGACACTCTCCCATGTATAGGAAGCTATGCTGGAGCTGTGTGGTGCCCAGCCGGTACTCCAAAGCTTGTAAGAAGGCTTTCTGTTGTGGCCTCCTCGTAATCCCAGTGACTGCTACAGTCTCTTTGCTCACTCTAGCCAATTTAGAATTCAAAACTGAATATGTTGTTCTAGTGTCCACCAAGAAATCAATCAGGCAGTTCCCCACAGCGAGTGTTACCTGGGACTCTGAGGGGCTTATTCTAATGGGCTTCTTTAGATCTAGTGGAACCCCCGGGCACCCCTATTCTTCATCTGAACCTTCTCCATGAACTATCATTTGTCTCCTTTCCTCTGCACTTGGCTCTAGATTCCTTCTACTCTGTCTATATTCCCTCCTATCTTCACCTGAGGCTCTACTCTGTGCTGCCATTTGTCTCCTTTCCTCTGTGCTGGGCTCTCAATTCCTCCTCTGTCCATATTCCCTATCATCATCAGAGTCTCTACTCTGTGCTAACATTTGTCTTCTTTTCTCTCTCCTTGGTTCCTGGTTCTGTGTACTCCTTCTATATTTCCTCCTGTAACCCCTGCATGAATCACCATATCATGGTGTTTTCAGTCTTCTATCCTGTCTTCTGTAATTATTGTGTCTGCCACTTCCCTGTAATCTGGGACAACTGTACTTCCAATGTCCCTCTTCCCTACAGAAAGCACACTGATTTCTTCCTAGGGATTCACGTCTCAGTCCATTACTGTTTCTCTAAAATCCTGTCCTGTGCTCTCTTTATACGAAAACACTCTATGGGGGGTAGGGGGCGGGATGGGAGGGATTGGGGTCAAAATAAGGGGGTTGCAATTGTATGGGGAATATAAAAATAAAATTTATTATAAAAAAAATACCTACAAATGTACACTCATGTATAGTGCATCTTCCAGACAAAGGCAGAATGTTCTCCTCGGTCTGTCATAATACGGGTTTCAATACGACTCAGGTTAACTATCTTTTTCAGATCCTTTGGACCTACGCTGGGTACAGGGAGTCCAAGCCACAGGGTACACTGGCTGGCATTCCAACCCAGTGACAACATTGTCTATCTCAAGGGAATATGTCCCGAAACAAAATGCCACAGTCCAAGTCTCCCAGGACATCCTCCATTCAGAGCAAATCATACAAAATCAGCTAACATCATCAGAAAAGACCGAGACACCCTCAACCTGGATTCATATAATGCAAAATGCTATACCCTTCCTAAATGACTCTTTTGGGACTAATACCTCCTCTTGTTTTCCCTGCGTTTCCCTTCAGAGGCCTCTACTGGTGGCAGCTCCAATTAATCACAATACCACTATGACCAAGATAACCCAAGACAGTAGTCGCTGCTTGCCAGACTCCCCAACTCTCAGTCCCCCATGGGACTCCAATCACAGCTACCCCTGCCAGCAAACTGACGCCCTTGTAGGCTTTCATTCCTGCACTTCTAACATTTCAGTTAACGAGTAGTTACCTCCTTAGAAAAAAACCTCTGTGTCTTTAGCATCATCACAAAGACAGCTCCCCTCCCTGGCACAGGCCGCTCTCCAAAACTGGCGGGCTCTGGACCTGTGAATGGCTGATAAGGGGGTACCTGCCTGTTCCTCAGGGAAGAATGTTGTTACTGTATCCGTGAGTCCGGGATTGTAGAACAAAATGTGGAAGCCTTAATGAAACTACACAAAGACGTGGAAAGGGAAAGCGGAGACTCCAAGTCTCCACTGACATGGTTTCAAAATCCTATAGTGTCATGGCTCCTCCCGCTCTTGTGGCCAAGAGCGCTCTTGTGGTTATACTAATGATAACCTTATTTTTTTTCTTTTTGCTCCTTGCCTCCTAAAATTCACACAGGCTCACATTCGGGAAATGTCTCCTACCACCTTTAACCAACTCCTTCTCCACCCACGTTATCGCATCCCTGCAGAAGACCCTCATAACCAGGCCTGAGCCACCCCCTTAGCTCCTGCCAGACCAGAGAGCAGTGATGAGGGAGGAGCACCCAGACTCCATAAGCGGGCTGGCCCCAGACAAAGAGGAGCAGTGAATATGCATGGGGGCGGGGGAGAGGGGTGTCCAGGGGTGGAATGTAGTTATGTCACAATCCCCTGGGAACCATCCTTATGGTCACATCAAGAGCTGGGTGTTTGATCTGTTGCCCCAGCCCCCCAGGACTAACCCCCTTTTAGGTTTCCCTTGTGGCCTCAGATAACAACCTGAAGGGGGACTCAAGACCCTGGGACCCGACCCTGGGAGAGGGTTCAGGCAAGTTTGCTCTGTACTGTACCCCACCTTTAAACTCTGAGCGCCTACAAAGCCTACTCTTATCTAGTAAACTTGAAGCGTTGACAACCACTCTGGGTGACACTGGGAAGAATTGTTTAGTTTGGTTTTCTGCGGGGTTTCTACTTCTCTGTGGAGACTTCCCAATTTTTGTCTGACTTCTCCATCTCACATTCTAATTCCTTATGACCCTGGGACCAGAGTGCCCCCCAATCAGTGCTCTTTGGAGTGATCTGTTTATCCTCTGTGGATCAGATCCCAGCAAACTGACCTTCCCAGTTGGGAATCTTCCCCCAGTCATCTCAACATGGGTTGCTCTGCTCGCCACAGGATAAACAGGCGACTGAAGCATCAATTCTGCTTCATTCTCTTGAGAAAAAAAGCCTGCTGTGTTAATGTACATATGCGTACATATGTGAGATTATAACAGATTGCTCTGAAATGTGCCTGGCTGTGCTCCTGGCTGTCCCCTCACTGCCTCCTGCCATCAGCATCCCGTTGGTGCAGGAGCTTGAGCAGCACTGTTAACAGGTAACATGCACAAGAAAGGGCCCTGAGGTCTGAGTACTCACATGCTTGCTTCTCCACCCCACGCTGGCTTTACCCACTGGCAGCTACTGATTCATGGCATCCCAGAAGTTCGAGTCTGAAGACTGAGTGTAAATTCCTAAACATTTTTTTCTTTAAACCATGTTATCAGTCCATTTCTTCTGTCATTGGGAGGATGGGACGGGGGGACTACGCACAGCACCTGGTGGAGATGTTGGTGGCATGAAGTCAGATGGCAAATCTAACTTGTAAAGTGGGGTGTGAGTACAGGGGCTTGCCGTTCTCGTGAGCCTCAACTCTTTTTCCTCTCCGCAGTTGAGAGACTGTCAAAGGAAAAATATCTTGGGGTCTCCTGCAGGAGTTAAGAAAAAGAAGAAACATGGCAGTAGGCCAGAGACAACCACTTCTGGTGGCTATGAGTCATCGAAAGGTGTAAGTCTTGCTCAGCAAGGCTTCCTGGGAGAGGAGTTGCTCCAGGGCAGCTGAGTGAGAAGTGAAGAGCATGAAAAAAGTGGGTAAGAACCCTGGGTCTGAGTGCGGCCTCTCCGTAGCTCTGCTGGGGATCTGATTTGGGGCGACACTGTTTAAGCTCTTTGTCTACCTGTGAGTCAGGATGCTACAGCTCTACTTAAATCTAGGCAGCATCCATGAGATGATTGTGCGTTCATCCCTTCGTGCGGGGCCTGGTGCGCAGTGAGCCTTCAGTACAGGGCGTCCCTATGGACTTCTTGCTCTGGCAATTTCCCTCATCCCCAGCCTCTAGGGGAAGCCAGTCAGTGAGGACACCCTCTCCCTTTAGGGTGGCACCGATGAGCCCCCGGTGCTTGGGATTAGGCGACCTCTGAGGTGGGAGTCTGTCTTTGCCACCTGCTTGCTGGGTGATCACAGGGAAAATCACGTCCTTCCCGGGTTTCAGTTTCCTCACCTGGAAGATGATATTGTTGGGCCAGATCAGTGTCCTCCAGACTGATTTGGTAGCTGATTTGGAGATGATCACATCTCTTGGTTTACATTGCTTTCTGCCTCAGGCGAGGCTGAGAGTGGCCGTTTGGAAAGATGGCGCAGGCCGTGATATGATCTGTCACCCTTGTCTCCAGCATCCATTGTCCAGAGCTGCTCTCTCTTTCCTTCTCTGACCTTTTTGTCTTCTCTAAGCCATTGTTCTTTTCCTCCCTTGCCCTTATTTTTCCCTTTTTACCTCCTGTAGATTCAGGACATTCTGCAGGTGCTGATGTCCACCTTAACCGCTCCAATGGGGTAGCGCTCCCCCCATTGGACAGGAGGAAGGTGAGGCCGTGCCGAGACCCCCTCTCTGGCTTGGCCTCTCCCAGCATGCATGCCCGAGGCTTGTCTGGTTGAGGTACTTGGCCTCTGACTGATTTTATGTTGCCATCATTAACCCTCGGTGTGTCCATGTCTGCTATTTCACCTGCTTGGTTGATTGTTGTTTTCCTTCCCGCACATCTTTATCATCTTGGAGAAGATACAATATACCGTGAAGGGTGAGAGGTCATTAAGGAAGAGCTTCCAGAGCAGATTGTGAGATTTGGGCCTTCCAAGCCTCCAGGGTGAATGCTCAGGGGCCTGTCCTAATGGGAGAGTGTCAATAAACCCCTCCCCAAACACAGGGCTTGCCCTCTGGGCATGTCCCCCAAAGACCAACAGTCCACATAGCAGTTGGTTTTTCAAAGTGATGAATTCATTTTAGCCTAGGAGTGGGAAATGCAGGCTAAGGAGAAAGGGGGCTTTTGTTACAGGTGCCAGGATTCAGGTGAGTTTTGTAGCAGAACTGCAAGTGCGTGAGGTTAACCAGAGATGAGTGGCTGGGACATTCTCCCCCGTTGTCTTTTAAAAATCAACTGGACACTTACCCATCTCCCATGGGCCCTTGGCAGCAGACACTTTGCTAGGCGGCAAGGTGGGATGTGGCAGCTGAGGGAGCAGTTGGCTCTGAAGGGTCTGGAGGCTGGAGGGGTGGACTTTGAGACTGATGTGTAGAGGTGGGCAGTGTTCATCCCTGTGGAGAGCGGGTGACGTGGGAGTCCCGGGCAGAGGGTGGGTGCAGGAGATGATCAGGATTAGGAGCCCAGAGAGTGCTTGACAAGAAGGTAAGTTGCCTGGGGTGCCCTGGGCTGGGAGATGACCTCATCCCGATGTGGGAGGGGACACCGAGCTCTGGGTCTCCAACTGCATTGGGTGGCATCTCACTGTTTCTTCTGTCTGTCCAGTCCCATCAGAGCATGGAGGTGACCGGCTCACTCCAAATGGAGCAGCACACCAAGAGCGAGCTGGCCAAGAAACTGGCTTCCAAGAGCGAGATGGCCAGCTACAGGAGAAGCTGGCAGAGCTGAAGGAGCTGGTAAGGCCTGCGCCAGCTGGGAAGGGCTCGGAGGCCTCCAGGAGGGAGGACCTTAGGCCAGGATAGAGGTAGCTCCAACTCAGGCAGGTGGGCACTGGTGACCCTGCAGTCCTGCCAGGTCCATGACTGCCTGTGCCCTACCTAGGCTCTGACAGCGGTGGGTTCCCCAGGACTGCAGGTCACCTCCCTGCTGGAGGCATGAGCCAGTAGGGGAGAGACGAGGAGACGTGGAGACATCCTGGTTCCAGACTTGGCTCCAGGGTCACGCTTCACTGAACAAGGCTGAGCCTCAGCATCCTTCACTTCAGAGAGCACTAGAAAGCAGTCCTGCTGTGGTTAATGGAAGGGGCTTGGGCAGGTGGCAAAGTCCCACAGTGCCTGCCTCAGGAAGAGGGGTCCGTGCCTATCCCCCCCCATTTGTGGGTGCAGATCTGGGAGGCGCCTTGGTGGCGGGAGCCAGCAGCAGCTGTGGTCTCCACTCTGCTGCTCCACCACAAGTCCGTTGTAGCAGTTGCTCTTCAGAACTGCCCTTTTCTGCATGCTTCCTGGGTTATGGGCAGGACCAATCAGGTGGTCCAGTCAGCCAAGGATGAAGATGGTCCAGGGCCTCCCTGGTGGCCTAGAGGTTAAGTCTCGGCACCATCACCACTGCTGCCTGTGTTTGATCCCTGGCTGGGATTTGACCCACAGAGCGCTGCAGACCTCTCCTGCCTTGTCGGCTGCTCCCCTCAGCAGTGTGTTTCAGTCAGTCTGCCTGTTCTGCTCACTCTACACCTCTGACCAATACCCCAGTTCTTCTGCACAGAGAAAGAAAAATTGTCCAACCAGACTTGATGTTGGGACACCCTGAAGAGTGATATAAGCCAGGGTTAGAGGGAACTGAGGGGCTCTGTTCCAACCTCCAAAGAAAGAAGGGGAAGACTCTGTTCCTGGCCTCTCAAGAAAGGAGGGCCAGAAGCTGAAAGAAGACAAGCAGTATCCAGTAGCCAACCTCTGTGGGAGGAAGAGAGGATGAAGACCTCTGTCAGAGACTGGGCCTCCAGTCCTGTGTCTGACATCACCTGAAAGGAGCACCAAAGTCTCCAGGCCTCATGTCTGAAAGAGCTGCTTGTTGTTGGTGTTGTCCAGCAACTCACAAAGAGCTTTTACACTTGGTGTCTCTGACACTGTCTGGGATACCAACTGAAAAGGGTAGTCACAGGGCATGAGGATGGGATGCCAGGATAGGCCTCAGTGGCATCCACCTGCCCAGGCTCTAAGACAAGAGAGCTGCCGAAAAGCCCCAAAGCCAAAACCAAGGGCTAGAGCAATACAGTACCCATACAATAGGGGCCTACAGGCTAGAGCTGATGGAAGGATAGTGCCTGGTAGGGGACTCATCACTGTGGTTCTCAACCGTGTGCACAATTGCAAGAGACTTCAGCCTCTGGAAACAACCACCTTGGGGTTTATTTTACAAACGGAAAACAGAGCTTACTGTAGCCACAAATGGTGTCTTATTGTAGGCACAAATGGTTTGCAAAGGGTCCACCAGAAGTACAAGTAGGGTTCCAATCCCCTGTCACCAGGAATTCTGGGCAGCACTGGCCAGTAGTGATGGTCACTACTAGTCCCCCTGAGGTAGCGTCTAGCCAAGGCAGCTGGGTTCCAGTGACAATTTGGAGGTCAACCGCCGCCTGCCCTCACCCCCCCGCATCTTCCCTGCAGGTGGAGGAGAAACATCAAGAAGCTGAGTAGCTGCAGCAGCAGTGGGACCAGGACCTTAGTCACCTTCAGCAGTACATAGCCGCCTACCAGCAGCTCATGACCGTCTACCAGCAGCTGGCCAATGAGAAGGACATCCCGCAGAAGCGGGTGCTGCTTAACACCCAGCTTGTCAACCGGATGCAGCACGAAGAGCAGGGCAAGATGGAGGTCGAGTTGGCCCGCCAAGAGCTGCTGAAAACATAGATGGGGTAGTTGGAGTGCCAGGCCCCCTGTGGCCGCCCGAGCAGGAAGAGCTGCAAGCAGCATCCCTTTTCACTCTTTCCTGACCCCTTAGGGCCGCCTGAAGGCTGGCAGCAAGCAGAACCAGCAGCTGCAGGCCCCACTGAACCTCATGGCTTGGACTGGAGAAAGTGAGTGGGACTTCAGCAGAGGAGGGGTTTGCAAGAGTGGAAGCCACCTGTAAAGGCCAGGAAGACCACAGAGCAGGTTTTCTGATCCAGCAGACCAGGTAAAGGAGGAGTCAGAGTCCTCAGTGCTTTTGTAGATTTTTATTGGGATTACTAGGTACACGGCAGGCAGGGGCGCTGGGGGGCCGGTAGGCTGGCAGGCCTCCCAGCCCCCAGCAGGTCTTCACTCTGGGCTCTCCGGCCTTCTCTCGGCTTCTGCTTCTCTTAGTTCTCTCTCGGCTTCTGCTGGCATCCCCATGACACCACCCTTAAAAGCTCAGTCTTAGCCCAGGTGAATCCCATCTACCTATGCCCACACCCTATTCCAGGTGCCCGCCATCAGGCATGCATTCAGGACTGATAGCATCCATCATCTATCCTGATGGCAGGAGGGCAGAAAAGCCTGACATTTTTCCTTACCCTACACCACCCTTAGGACAACTTGGATCCTTCCCCTTTGGAGACTTCCTGGCGCAGGGCTGCACAGAGAGGAAGGGGCAGAGCTTCCTGGCTTTCAGGGCTACTTCAGAACACAGAGGTTCTCTGAGCTTCTCAGGCGTGGCTGCACAGGCAGCTAAAAGAGCAAAAGCTGCTCTGCCAGTGCCTGGCTCAGCAGGCAGCCCCATGGGACCAGGAGCCCGAGAAGATGGAGATCCTGGGCCCCGGGGGGAAAGTGTGCCTGGGGAGACCCACCAGGCCCTTCAGGGAGCCATGGAGAAACTGCAGGTGAGTGTGGTCCTCTGGAGGGCTGGGCGGGCTGGGTGCTGGGCAGGCCGGCACTGCTGAGCCCTGAGCCCGCTGTCTAGCCGCAGGGCCGCTTTACCGAGCTCATGCAGGAGAAAGTAGAATTACAGGAGCAGATTGAAGAGCTGGAGCATCAATGTATCCAGATGTCTGGAGAGACAAACACCATCGGTGAGTGGAGAGGCCGGTGCCCTGGGGCCATGGTGCTAGCTGAGCTGCCTGCGCGCCCTCCCCCTAGGAGAATACATCATTCTCTGCCAGAACCAGAGAGCAGTGATGAGGGAGGAGCACTGAGAAGACAGAAGGCGGAGTCCATAATCCAGCTGGCCCAGGACAAAGAGGAGATGAAGGTAGTCTGTGCTCTGGCTGGGGGCGGGGCGGGCTTCTGAGCATCTCTGCTTCCAGGTGAAGCTGTTAGAGCTGTGAGTGCTGGTTTTGCGGCTGGTGGAGGAGCGAAATGAATGGCGGGTGAAGCTCCAAGCAGCTGACCAGAATCCTGCTGCTGAGCCCACTAGCGCACCCCCGGCCCCCAAAGAGGTTGGCGCTGCCAATGGCAAGATGAATAAAGCCCAGCGCGGGCTGCTGGGCAGGAGGAGCACACTCCACCAGGCATGCAGCACCCTGTCTCTGTCTCTCCAAAGAACAGAGTGATGTGAGCCTTGCCGTCAATGTGCAGCTGACCCAGGGAGTAGCCCAGCTGGGTCAGACTCCTCTTGAGAACGCCTCCGCGCAGCAGATCATTCAGCTGCTTCAAGGAATACAGAACCCCCAGGAACGCGTCACCACTGGAAACATCCTGTGCATTCCCTTCTACCAGGCTGATGCCAACGAGGAGGTGAAGATAATGGTGGTCTAGGCCTCCGGTATGGGGTGGGGGCTCTGCCCACACCTGGCCCTCACCAACCCATCCCTGTTGCCCAGGCTTTCCCACCCTGTCCTTTGGCTCTCCTTCCCAGTCGTCCTTTCATCCCTCGGCTTAAAAAAGATTAACAACAACTCCCCTACGTAATAGGGGGAAACAGGTGCAGACCCTAGCCTCTTAGGTCAGGGCTGTGTCTTAATCTCTGGACTAATCAAACTTCCAGAGACAAGGAGCTAGAAACATCCAGCTAGTTATTTAAGGGGCTCCCCTCTACAACATAGGGGCTCCTTGATGACCAATTGAATCCTTACCAGGCCTTCCTGCAGAGGGCCTAGGTTATATCAGGCAATTTGGGGCCACATGCCCCCGATCCCATACCAACCATGTAGAGAGGGGCAGCACTTTGAAGGCCCTGCACAGGGGCTAAGCCCAGACAGAGATACCAGCTGGTGCAGGTGGGCACCAACAACTGTCTAGACTGTAGCCACAGAGATAGCACTAGCTTATTTGAGACCACCCAGATCCACAAAGGGGTGGCCTCCACTTGCTGTCTTTACAAAAGTCCCATGGGCCTCTGTGCCTGATTATCTTGGAGGCCACCCCGATCTGCAGAGGGGTGGCCTTTGCTGCTGCTTTTACAAAAAGCCCCATAGAGGGGATGCATGACTTATTCAGGCAATTTGGGGGTACACGTGTACTTCCCCAACCCTATGGAAAACGGCTTGGCTCAGAAGCCGGGCGGCTGCGGCTAGTGGAGGCCAGGTGGAAGGCGCATGGGCGCCCCGCGGTGTACATACTGTGCTGTGACGTGTACATCGGGGCTGAGACGGCCCCTGTATCACAGCGGAGGCTGCGGTGGCCCCTGGGAGAGGAGGTTTCTATGAATCATTTGAGCGGAAACTTATTTATTGATCGCCCAGGACAGATGAAGGAGGCAAGGACAGGGAGTGGTTCCTGGTGTTTCACTTTTATGTCTGAATAAACTGAAATCACCATGTGATCGGGCCCTGGGATCTGTGTTCAGGGGCTGTGCTGGGTGTGGGTCCTGCCAGCAGAGGACAGGCTTCGGGGTGGCGAGGTGGGCACAGTGCTGCCTGTCAGGGCATCCAACCCTGCTCAGCTCTCTGACCCGTCGGGCCTGTGGGCTGCGTGCCGCCCCAGGAGGGCCAGGTCCTGCTCTGATGACCAACACTGGGAAACCTGGTCTACTTCTGTGGAAGGAAAGCAGGGTGCCAGCACCCCAGAGTACTGGCTTCCAGCCTAGGCATTTCTCCTCTCACCCTGTTCCTCTGGGGACCCCACCCAGGCCCCATGAATCTTCCAGGCTGGCACTCTACCCCTGTTGGCCACAGCAGGGTTCAGATGAAGACCAGCTAAGTCCAGGTGCTTTCCAGGGCAGCCCAGGAAAGAGTGTAGCCTCCCAGGCACCCCTGCGCCCCCATGCTTAAACCTTCCCTTCCCCCTGAACGCCACAGAACACAACCAGCACACAACACGTTGCTCCCCATTGTTCAGAAATGGGTTTCATTCTCAGCCAAGAGACAGCAGGACTAGTCGCAGCCAGAAGCACAAGCTGCCGGTGCAGCACCCCCATGCTCGGGGGAGGGGCAGGGAGGTGGCAGGGGTGCTGAATGGGCACAGGCCGGCAATGGCAGGGAGGCTTATCGGAGGTGGCATGTGTTGGCGGGGGCGGCTGGGGTGACAACATTTGCTTGTAGTTGGGCCACAAGACTCAGAAGGACAGCACAGCACGGCGGTTCCCAACACTAGAGACGCGCGTGCACGTGTGTGTGTGCCCGTGTATTTATAGACATGTATAGAGCAGGGCAGGAGCAATACCACCGAGGGGGCACAAGAGTCACCGAGGTCACGCCTGGGGTGTCAGCTCACCACCACAACAGACTAAAGTCACAGATGAAGGGGGAGGCTTGGGGGCTGGGGGCCAAGTCACAGAACAGCCACCCAGGCAGGCCTGGGAAGAGAGGTGTCCCAGGAAGAGGAGGGGTCTGGTTAGAGGCCGAAGGGGGCCCTGGGGCTCTCAGGATGGGATGGACTTGCCTGATCCGATCAGCTGGCAGCTGGGAGAAGCAGAGAGAAAACGGGGGAGGGCAGAGAAGGGGGAGAGCTGGGAAGGCAGGTGCAGCCTGGGCTGCAGCGCTGGGGGGGAGGTGGGGAGGGAAGACGAAGCAGGGGAGGGTGTGGGCAGGGGTTCTGGATGAGAGGGGAGGGGGGACAGGGAGGGGGGATGCAGGAGCAGGAGCTGGAGCCTCTCCCTGCACGCTCACGGGCCTCTCACACACACCAGACAGTGCACCCGTGGGCCAGACATGTGATCGGCCCCCTCGGCTCCCTCCTCTCTGCTCCCCTGTCTTTCAACCCGCTGGGCCAGGGCCACCCTCAGCTTCGGGAGTAGGGGCCCACGGGCCGATGTGACACCACCATTTCTGGCGGAATACTACTGTTTGCACTGGAGGGCAGAGCTGAGAGGATGGCTGGAGGGAGCACTGGGGCCCCCCTGGGGTGGGCAGAAAGCCCAGGAGTCCTCCATAAGGACCCTGGGGAGATAGGGAGGGCAGGAGGCCGATGCCAGTGGCCACAGGCTTACAAGTCTAAGAGGGGAGCCTCAGCTGGCCGGGGGACCGCAGGTTGAGTAGGTGAGGCTGGGCCCTTCCTGGTGAGGAAAAGCAGAAGAGCAAGCATCAGTGTAGGGGTGTGGGGGCAGGCAGGTCCGTGGGGCGAGTTTTACTGCCCAGCTGGGGTAGAACTCAGAGAAGCCGACTTGCCTGGGTCAGTAGACACTGAGGTCCCCTGGCTGAAAGGGGAGGTGACCCTAAGGAGCAACAGGCCCAGGTCCACAGGCCTGCAGGCGGGCTTCGGTGCTTCACCTGGGGCACAGGGGCTGCCTTGGCCCTGTGCTGGCGGGCACAGCAACACCGGGCATGGAGGGCAAGGCACTCTGTGACCTGCCTGGTTGCAAGGTGGCTCTGGACCGAGGGTGTGGCTTGGACCCTCAGGCTTTCCAAAGCCATGGGACAACATAAGCTTACCCTGAAGGTGACTCAATTGCCACCATAAGGAGGAGGGTTCAGATCTCCTCTGCCCTGTGGTGGATCCGGTTCCAAAGCTCCCAAGGTGGCTGCCCTGCCCCAGCAGCACACTCACATAGGGGGATGGGGGCCGCACCTCCAGGATGAATTTCGAAGGCTCCCTGAGGACCTGCCCCCTGACAGCAGCACAAGCGGCCTATCAGCTCAACACCCCGCGCAACCATCTGCACTGCGGGCCCTTGAGTCTAGAGACTTCCACGGCTGGAGGACATCCACCTAGATGGAAGGCCTGGCTAAGACAAGTCGCAGTGACTGTCTTCAGTCAAAGGTACTTTGGGAACTTGGGGTTGGCTTGCCTGTATGGACTTAAGTGTATGTATGACCAATATAGGAATAAAACTCTCTCTGAGAGCCAACTTCCGACTGAAACTTATCTATCAGGCTCACTACAGATGCCTTCTCTCAAACCTCCATCCCTAAGCATCTCATCTTTTCCTGCAGCGCTGCATGGCCTCAATACCAATTGGACAATGGCTCCCACGGGCCGAGCATGGCACTTGTGACTTCTCAATCCTTACAGACCTAAACAATTCTGTCACCGCAGTGAAAAATGGTCAGAGATCCCTTAGGGCCAGGCTGGCTTTCTCTTGTGCTCCCGTGCCCCCCTCCAGCCCCTCCCTCCTGAAAACCTGCCACACTTTCCAAGTCTTGAGACTCCTCTCACTCTCCCCCTCTCTGGACCCTCTCAACGTTCTCCGATCCTCTAGATTCTCAGTCTAGCATTCCCCCATTTTTTCTCCTAGACACCACACCCGCTCTGGGTTGTCCTCTTCTTGGTCCTCTTAGGGAAGTGGCAGGGACTGAAGGAGGAGTTAGAGTCCATGTTCCTTCCTCTCCATCTGGTCTCTCCCAGACTGAAAAGCTTCTTGGCTCTTTCACTAACAATCCCACCACCTACCAAAGAGTTTCCTTATCTTACCCAAGCCTGTAACCTTACTTGTCATGATTACATGTGATCCTCTCTTCCACCCAGATCTCTGACAAAAGGGAATGTGTTTTAGGTCTGCCCAAGACCAAGCAGATCAGGTCCCTTTGACTGACACAACCATGGCCCCAGGCTCTGCAGCAGTTCCCAGCCCAGAGCCAGGGTAGGACTACCAGACTGACACAGGCAGGGCCCCTAGGGCAGAGTTCACCGAAACCATTTTATTACCTGTCTCCTAGCTGGCCTCCAAGCAGGTGTACACAAAAGTGTAAATTTTGCTAAGCCCGGGGAAATTACAGTCTGCCTCAAAAAACCCTGCTGCCTTCCTTAGCTGCCCGGGCACATTCGCTGCCTGGGGAAGAACAAATCAGAACTGGGTCAGGGTCCACAGGAGATGAGAATGAGGGTGGAATTGCTGAGTCAGCTTATCCTATGGGCTCCATCTACACTATCCCAAGGGTTTGAATAATCATAAACCCTGATCCATTTACCTCCAGTCTGGGAGTTGCTCGCTCCTTTTCCTCCTGTGGGAATAAAACATCACGTGAGACCACGGAGGAGTCAGGCCGTGAAGTCCTAAAGGAATCCCCTAGTCTGGCCAAAGGGAAGTTTCCAGAACTGTGACTGAAGACCCATGGCAGGAGTGGGCAATATGAAGAAAGGAGATGAAGGGGGACTGGACTTACTGCCTCCTGGAGTCTGTCCCACGCAGGAATCTTGCCCACTGATATTTTCTTTTTTTTTTTTTTTTTATTTATTTATTTATTCATACAAGCACTGGGTACAGTCAGGAGTGCGGGAGGGTGAGAGAATTCACCAGAGCCAGAGGGGGGAGCAGAGCAGGCAGAAGGACCGAAGTACACTGCTGAGGGGAGCAGCGGGGGGCAGGAGAGGTCTGCGCGCCATGTGGGACCCTCCTCCAGTGGCCGGGGAGCAGCCAGGGATCGAACCAGCGCTGCAGAGGCTGCGGGCAGCTTCGCAGCCCAGCGCTCAACCGCTGCGCCACTGGGGAGGCCCCACTGATATTTTCTGGGAATCAGGTCCCCATCACCAGGATTATCACTTTCACATTTCACATGTTCTTTACAAAAGGTGGTGTTAGCAATCAGCTCCAGTTTGGGCAACAGGTGTGTGGATGGTATTTCCATTTACCAGGCAGGGCAAAGTTGTATTGAAATCCCCCAGTGGACAAGATCCCCCACTCCCTTCCCTACCTGAGCGCTTCTTCCTCCACATCACAGCTGCAGCCACCGCAGCTCCAGCGAGCACAGGTCAAGGAGAACCAGGCCAGCAATGACGCCCACGGTGGGGATGGAGGACTGAGGAGGGGGCACTGGAAGGGGAGACCCTGAGCCCCAGGCCTCATCCTGACCCTCTGAAGGGCTCCAGAAGGGCTCCTGATGCCCCTGGGCAGAGCCTCTGTGCCCACGCCCCCCTCCTCACCCCATCTCAGGACTCGGGGCTCCAGCAGCCCCTCATGCTGCACGTGGCACGTGTATCTCTGCTCCTCTCCAGAAGGCACCTCCACAGCTGAAGGTCCCGCAGGCTGTTCCCAGGGACCCGGGCAGATTCCAACAGAAGCCTGGAGGTGATGCTCGGGCCGGGAGACCCTGAGCGACCCCGCCCGTCCGTGGGGATGGGGGTGCTGACCCGGCCCGGGCCCGCGCCAGCTCACCGGTCTCGCTCTGGTTGTAGAGGCCGCGCAGGGAGTCCAGGCTGCGTCGGGACCAAGGTCTGTGGTTCTGAAGATCCGTGCGCTCCGCGTGCAGGACTCGGGCCCCTCCCGCCCCGCCCAGGGCGCCCGCGGCTCCATCCTCCGCCCCGCTGCGTCGCTGCCAAACCCCACGAACTGCGTGTCGTCCACGGAGCCCACGACGATGAAGCGGGGCTCCCCGGGGCCGGGCCGGGACATTGTGGTGTCGAAAGTCCTCAGGGAGTGGGGGCCTGGGGGCGGG